CTGTAGTCAGATCTGGGCCCGTGTTCCCTCAATCTCATCTAGGAGTGAAAACCTGGATTTTTGCTGTTACGATTAGAGTAGGCATTTGAGGTTCGGAGCACGTCAATGCTTGCCCTGCTTGTTTTTAAAATTTTAACTACTAGGACTAGGATACTGCTGCTAGAAGTGCTGTGTCTATGCCAGAAGTACTATTTCTAGTAATCATACTTACCAAAACCAGTAATTGGCAAGCTATAATGCGGCCTGTACTTCTACTACTTCTAATACTACTATTAATGCCGCTGTTGCTGTTGTTGCTAGCACGACCCACGTACAAAATTCAGGTGATCATTGAAAAAAATGATGCTCTAGGAATAACGGCAGTTTTGCCGACAAAGAACTCAGGACCGGATCAACTTAATGTAGATTACTTGACAGCACACACACACACACGACGGTTCAACAAACGATTTCGATTATGTCCGACGTGGACTCCGCAGCAGGGCGGTGCAGGGACGGTGACTTGAGCGTGAATTTGGTTTTAAGTGATAGTAGACTTGCGCTGCATCTACTGCACTCTCTCTCTTCCCTCTACCAGGCGCACTCGTCCTAACCAAGAAGGATTTAATCCAGGTAGAGGATCTTTTGACTAGACCTTCATTCTACACCGCATACTGGAACACAGATACCAGAATCAACAGATCACCATCGCCTGTTTAATCGACTTCAAGACAGCCTTTAATTCCATCGACAGACAAGCCTTGTGGCAAATCTTGCTTGCTGATGGTCTCCCAATAAAGTTGCTAAATCTGAACAAAGCCTGCTATAGCAGAACATCAGCCCGGGTGAGAGCCGTTGGTGAAGAGTCGGATTCTTGCCCACTGACTTGTGGATTTCGACAAGGATGCCCTCGTTTCCCAGTTCTCTTCAACTTCTTGATCGACTGGGTGATGCATTAATCAATTCTACCTGAATTCAGAGTACCTGACCTGGAATATAACGATGACATTGTCGTACTTGGTAAAACCACTCAGCCACTACAGCCAACGCTTCGCTGTAACTGTTGGTCTGGTGCTTAATGTACGCAAGACGAAGCTCCTGACTGTGCATCTCGGAACACCACAACCACCGTTTATCAGCGGTCAACCCATCGAAGAAGTAAGCTGCTTCCGCTATTTGGGCTTGAATCTGCTAGCCAACGGACAGGCCAAAGACGAAATCAAGAACCGAGTCGCGCAGGCTAGAAATGCATTTAGGCTGCTAGTCGGACCATTCTGGTCTCGCTCAGACATCAACTTACGTATTAGGCTGCTGATATACAAAGCAGCAATCAGACCGGTGTTAATGTGTGCTTGCGAAACTTGGCCAGTGAGAAAGGCAGACATCCTATCGCTCAAAGTTTTTGACCCTTGGTATATTCGACGCCTCTTAAGAGTCTTCTGGCAGGATCGAATTTCCAATGTCGCAGGTGTTTCAAACTAAAAAATTTAGCATCATACACACAGAATCGCCGATTGCAATGGTTTGGCCATATCCTGCGCAAACGATCGACAGACCTCTGCAGGTTGGCCGTGAATCCCTCACGTAGTGCAAACTGCAGATACCGACATGGGGGTCAACTGAAGGTGTGGCTCAACACTGCCAGGTCGGAGGTTGAACGGATGGGCCTCGTAACCGTTTACGGCTTGCGACACTGGAGCAGGGTCAACGTTTGCGAGGAGCTCGATTCCGATCGCCGCCAATGGGCCGCCGCTATCCGTGACATCCGTGAAGCCGATTCATCCAACAACAGGAGCGAATTGGATCAAGTACAAGTAAGTATGCGTTCCACCATGCCCGCCGTGTTCGAAATTTGTTCTCGTTATGGGAACACAACCCGAACAACGCTTGCTGTACCCTGATCTGTCCCCCGTGTTGGTCCAGCGCACATATACACACACAGTTTGCCTACTAAAATCTTCTCACCGTATCACTGTCTGCGACGGTCTAGGCTCAGAAAAAAAACCTCCAGTAGGCAGATAGTATTACCGGCAAAGACAAGGGAGAGTGGAATGGCCATTTCTGACTTATTAGCCGTCGTCAGCCAGTCATACTCAGACCTAAGTAATACTTGAATAGTACTTACCGGTAATGCTATCACCTACCTATACTATCAGGTGTTACGACTGTCAAAACCCCTGGCGAGGAGCAAGGCAGAGCGGGACCGATGAGTTCAGTTAGCGGTCGAGTGAACGCTCATCACTGAGTGTAAATATCCCTCGACCTAACCCGGCAAGATAGCGAGCTCGTGGCTCAATGGTTATGGCGTGTTTGACTCTGA